GATCTTTGTACTTGGTGCTTTTTCAAAAATTTCCAATAATACTTTTGGTGATTACTTTTGTTTCAATTGTTCTGTTTCCTTCCTTGAAAACACGTGTAATTATTAGGCTGGCTCACCATTTCTGTCCCCTACGTGAGCTGCTCAGATGTTTGCCCCTTTTATCACTCATTTGATTTCTCTTTTTCACTTCCAATGTTGGCTTTATTTCTGCTATTGCAATCCTAATTTCTTTGTATCCTTTTAAAATCTATCTCACTTTTCTTAAATGATCTTACTGCATCCTGGTCTCCTCTCTCCACAGGCGGCCTGTTTTGTGTAGTTTGCCAAATTGTGACGGGAAGTTCCTGAAGTAATTTACTTTGTAAGTTAGGTTCTGCTTTTGTGGGAAGGGTGATCTTCCTTGTGGTTTTCTTTTGTTGTTAGGATCAGTGCTGGATTTCTTACTGCTTACTTACCATTGAACAGTAACTGTTACGTCTTATCTGATGTGCATTTGTCAGAAACGTGTGTGGGTTTTCCTTGCCTCTACAGGGGACTGGAGTTCTGACGAAACCACTTCTCAGATGTATTGCTGAGGGATAAATACGCAGCTCCCAGCCTGATTTCCAGTGATTAATAGACTTTCCTCTTCATATGGTATTCTGGGCTAAGGTAGTAGGATCTTACCCTACCCCGTTTCTGTCTGTGTGAGTCTGAGCTGATGTATGCGGGTGGCCCTGATTTCCAGCATTTGCTGCTGTTAGGGGTTTTCTGATTCTGATGTTACACCCACGACATAACACTCTCCTTGTTACTTCGCTAAACCTCCCAGGAAGCAGGGTGTCCTTCCGGTTTTCCTGCCCTTACACAGCCCCGCCCCGCTGGAACCTTACCTGCACTCCGGCGCAGACACACACTTCCTGGTTCGCTTTCTGGAATTTGCGCCTGGTAGTCTCTCTGAATATATGTTGAGAGATCAGAGAAGATAAGGAACTGTGGCTGCCACAAAAACTGCATCTGTTTAGCAAAGGAGTGGCTGACCAATTTTTAATTCCGCCTTAATTCTTCAAAACAGACTCTGAGTCTCCAAATAAAGGGATGGCTAGTGGAGAGAGACAAGGTATCTTCATATGTTCTTTTAGGCAGATGGTTGAACTTTGTTTTATGAGGCGGAGCATGGCTGGGTCACAAGTCTTTTTTCAGTAGGTTGACCTTAAAGCTAGTTCAAATCCTTCAAAGATCTCATATAAATTGTATTGGTGGAGATTTGGGACAGACTACGTTGGTGATTTCTGATTTGATACCATTATTTACTAGAGAAAGCCTGTTTCAATTTTTTGAAACTTAGGTAATCACTTAAGTAGTAACATCAATCTTGACCTTCATCTTTCAATAAAAGATTTTACCTCAGATTGATAGATTTTCACTTCGGTAGTAGGAGAATGATATCTTGTTCCATTTTGCATCTGTTTGATAAATCTAGTGAGGCTGAAAATTTTTCATACATCTATGGACTCTCCTTCCCCATTTTTCCATTTTGAATTGCTATTTGGCGTTCATGGCCAAAATTAGGGAAAACTAGACTTCAGAGTGTTTACGCGTTTCTTCTTCTGACTTTTTGTTTTTGTTTTTGTTTTTGTTTGAAATGGACTTTGGCTCTTCTTGCCCAGGCTGGAGTGCAGTGGCACAGTCTCGGCCCTCTGCAACCTGCACCTCCCGGGTTCAAGTGATTCTCCTGCCTCAGCCTCCTGGGTAGCTGGGATTATAGGCATGTGCCACCATGCCCGGCTAATTTTGTATTTTTAGTAGAGTTGGGGTTTCTCCATGTTGGTCAGGCTGGTCTCGAACTCCCGACCTCATGTGGTCCTCCCACCTCGACCTCCCAAAGTGTTGGGATTACAGTGGTGAGCCCCCGCGCCCAGACTTTTTTTTTTTTTTTGAGACGGAGTCTCGCCTTGTTGCCAGCCTGGAATGCAGTGGCACAGTCTTGGCTCACTGCAGCCTCCGCCTCCCGGGTTCAAGCGATTCTCCTGCCTCAGCCTCCTTAGTAACTGGAATTACAGGTGTGTGCCACCATGTCTCGCTAATTTTTGTATTTTCAGTAGAGACGGGGTTTCACTGTGTTGGTCTGACTGTTGTTGAACTCCTGACCTCATGATCCGTCTGCCTCAACCTCCCAAAGTGCAGGGATTACAGGTGTAGCCACTGCACCTGGCCTCTTCTTCCAGCTTTTTTAGTAGTCTTTCTTGTCGCTGACCTGTTCTCTCCCTGTTCCCTACCATCAGGCAGTTTTGAAGCATTTTCTGAGCCTCACCACTTGACTTCCTTCGCGCTTTGTCATTGTTTCACTTTTTTAATGTGATTGAGTGAAAGCCAAGGGGAAGAAGAAAAAGAGAAAAAGGGTCGCATTTGAATTACAAAATGCCTTTACACTCCCTGTGGCCTCTGTATACAGATCCCTTCCCCTCTCTCTCTCTCTCTCTCTCTCTCTCTCTCTCTCTCTCTCTCTCTCTCGCCTGACAAATTCCTTTTCATCCGTCAAAAGCCAATTCTGGGTTTTTTTTTGCCTAATTACTCTCATCTAAATAGGACCTCTGGGTCCCCCTTTCCAGTGCGTTCCACTGGGCCCTGTCAGGTTTCAGAGTAGTCGTTTTACTTGTGAGCTCCAAACTGAGACTTTTTTAGGCACTTAATAAATATTTGAATGAGTGAATACATTAGGAGTATTAGAAACAAAATACTTGGGCCGGGTGTGGTGGCTCACGCCTGTCATTTCAGCACTTTGGGAGGCCGAGGTGGGAGGACCATGAGGTCAGAAGTTCGAGACCAGCCTGCCGAATGTGGTGAAACCCCATCTCTACTAAATACAAAAATTAGCCGGGTGTGGTGGCACGTGCCTGTAATCGCAGCTACTCGGGAGGCTGAGGCAGAAGATCACTTGAACTCGGGAGGTGGAGGTTGCAGTGAGCCGAAATTGTGCCACTGCACTCCAGCCTGGGTAACAGAGCAAGAGTCCATCTCAAAAAAAAAAAAAAAAAACAGAAAGAAACAAAATACTTGTTATGCGGTGCGGCAAAGAAATAGCACTCAAGTGTAAATTTAATTTTCTCAGCAAGGCAATTTTACTTTTTGCAGAAAGGGGGCTCCTCGCAGATGGAACAAGGGTGAGAGCACACCTGAACAAGGGAGGGGAACGGGTTCTTATTCCTGACACAGGTATCCCCTACTGCTGTGTCGTTCCCCTGTTGGCTAGGGTTGGACCTCACGGTCTAAGCTAATTCCAATTGGCTGTTTGAAAGAGACCAGAGGTATGAGCCAGAGTGGCGGGGTGAGTAGTGGGAAGGATGGTTAGGAACAGGTAACTAAAGGTGACTTAGGTCAGAGCAGGTGACCCGGGTGACTCAGGTCAAAGCAGGTGACCAGGATGAGTCAGGATGGAGCAGGCGACCGGGGTAACAGATGTGAACTACTGATTAAAACTGGTGGAAAAGGTTGTTTACCGAAACTATGTGGAAGTTAAACTTTAAAATGGAGGATAATACTGATTCTTTGAAGAGAAATCTAGAACTCACTGTATCCAACAGGAGAGATTTACGAAGTTTCTGTTATTTTTTCCATTTATGTCATTTCCCTGCTTAGTAACTTCCAGTGTGAAAATACCAAAAACAGGTATCTCTGAGAAGTAGACTTAGGGTTATTCTTTTTTTATTTTAGACTTTATTCTGGTTTGAGGTTTTTGTGATGATCATGTACTACTTTTATTATATAAGGATAGAAAAAACTATTAACACCAAACCCTTAGAATTTCCAGTTGCTTCCTATGCCCAGCACCTGCACCTTTCTGGCCCCACTCAGCCTAGTTTTTTTTCCATTGCTTGCTACCTCTGCCCTCTGATCTCCTTGCTGTCTCATGAGCTGCATCATACTTACTGTTCCTGTTGCCTGGAATCCCATCTTCTGGTTAGGAAGATGATCTGCTATAAATACTGAGACTACTTGCACTAGAGATTGAATAGTGAGAGTTTAGACTAATGACCTGGGGTCTCATCTTGAACATACTGTGCTTAAGGGATGAGGTTTCTGGGTCAGTTTTATCAGTTGTGATGAACAAGATAAATGGAGCGTTCGTCTTAGCTTTCTAGAATAGTGACCTTAAAAGAGAGAGAATAGTGAATGTATCTTCAAACTTGCCTGGGTCTCCACTAGTCTAAAGAAGAAAAAACCCTTTAAATCTGGTGCTGTCACAGATGAAATCCTTTCATTCACTGATGTATTCATTCAAGAAGTAATGACTCATCACCTACTCTGGGCTATACACAGTGTCCAGTGTGATGGTGATGTAATGGTCAACAAGATACTCACTGGGTCCATGCTTGTGGAGTTTATATGTAGTTAGAGAAGACAGACCTTAAAAAAGCAAATCTAGTGTGATGAATGTTGAGATAAAAGGAAATAAACCTACGCTTGTGGCAATGAAGAAGTGTCAGAGGTTTCCTGAGAGAATGACATTTAAGCTAGTACTTGAAGTAGGTGTTTGCCAGGTGGAGGTGGTGGAGAGAAAGTAGAGTCATCAGTTCATTCTGGTTTGTCCACGGCTTTCCTGGTTTTAGCACTAAAAGTCCTGTGTCCAGGGAGGTCATGTGCGAAAGCTTCAGATGGCAATTAAAGAAACAATAAGAACAGAAAAACTTAAAGCCCAAAGAGGGAAAGACTGAAATGAGACGAGTCTAGAAAGTTAGGAGCCTGATGATGCACTGTTGGGCTTTACCTTAAGAACCATGCGGGCCGGGCGCGGGGGCTCACGCCTGTAATCCCAGCACTTTGGGAGGCCGAGACGGCGGATCACGAGGTCAGGAGATCGAGACCATCCTGGCGAACACGGTGAAACCCCGCCTCTACTAAAAAATACAAAAAACTAGCCGGGCGCGGTGGCGGGCGCCTGTAGTCCCAGCTACTCGGGAGGCTGAGGCAGGAGAATGGCTGCAGTGAGCTGAGATCCGGCCACTGCACTCCAGCCTGGGCGACAGAGCGAGACTCCGACTCAAAAAAAAAAAAAAAAAGAACCATGAGAAGGTTTTAAGTAGGAGAATGAAGTGATAGTATTGGTTTGGTTTGGTATTGTATTGTATTGTATTGTATTTGAGACAGTGTCTTGCTCTATTGCCCAGGGTGGAGTGCGGTGGCACGATCTCAGCTCATGGTGGCCTCCACCTCCTGGGTTCGGGTGATTCTCATGCCTCGGCCTCCTGAGTAGCTGGAACAGCAGGCACTCGTGATCACGCCTGGCTAAATTTTATGTTTTTTTCGGTAGAGACACAGTTTCACCATGTTGCCCAGACTGGTCTTGAACTCCTGACCTCAAGTGATCCGCCCGCCTCAGTGTCCCAAAGTGCTGGCATTACAGGCATGAGTCACCACACCCATCCGAGGATATTAATTTATTAAAAATGGAAAAACTACACATTTTTATTCTCATATTTTTCTGTCACTGGATAGAAATGTTACTAGCAGAGTAAATAATCCAGATGCCTGTCATCAGCCTGCTTTCCAGGCATGAAGAGTAAGCATAGAAGGTAGGAGGCGTGGCTGTGAGGTCATTCCAGTGATCTTTTCCTCAACACAGCAAATACTCTAAATGGTTTTTGTCACCGTGGAAGTAGTGCCATCGCGAGACTGTCTGATTATCCCAGTGATGCTTCCACTCTTCAGATTATTTCTAGAACTCTTCTTTTCGCATTGCCCTGGGAGCCTCTGGCATATTCTTTAGACTATCTTCTTCACCAGAGGCAAACTCTTCATCCTTGCCTCTGCCTCTATTTCAGGTCAATTTCTCTTGCTCTCTGCATCCATGTTTGGCCCAACGTGGTTTCTTTGTTTTCCTTAAAAATTCCTTAAATTTTAAAAAACAGATATTGATAAACAGTAAAATTCACCCTTTAAGGTATACAGTTAAATGGGTTTTCTTTTTTTTTGAGATAGAGTCTTGCTCTGTTGCCCAGTCTGGAGGCTGGAGTGCAGTGGCGCAATCTCGGCTTACTGCAACCTCCGCCTCCCGGGTTCAAGCGATTCTTCTGCCTCAGCCTCCCAAGTAGCTGGGATTACAGAAACGCACCACCACGCCCAGCTAATTTTTGTATTTTTAGTAGAGATGGGGTTTCACCATACTGGCCAGGCTGGTCTTAAACTCCTGACCTTACGATCTGCCCGCCTCGGCCTCCCAAAGTGCTAGGATTACAGGCATGAGCCACTGCGCCCAGCCAGTTAAGTGGGTTTTTGAAGTGTATTCACAAAGTTATACAGCCATCTCCACTATCTAATTACAGAATATTTACATCACCTCAGAGAGAAATACTGCACTGAATAGTGGTCACTCCTTATTTCATATCCCCCCACAAATAACCGCTAATCTATTTTTTGTCTTATGAATGGAATGATACAATATGTGGTCTTTTGTGACTGGTTTCTTTCATTTAGCGCAGTGTTTTCAAGGTCCATCCATGTTGTGGCATCTATCTGTACTTCATTCCTTTTTACAGTCATGGTATTCCATTGTATGGACGAAAGAGACAAGGTCTTCTACGTTGTCCAGGCTTGTCTTGAACTCCTGGGCTCAAGTGATCCTCCTGCCTCAGCCTCCCAAGTAGCTGGGATGGTGCACACCTGGGTTATTTTCAGTTTTTTTGTTTGTTTGTTTTGAGACAGCGTCTTGCTCTGTCGCCCAGGCTGGAGCGCAGTGATGCGATCTCAGCTCACTGCAGCCTCCGCCTCCCGGATTCAAGCAATTCTCTCACCACCACACCCAGCTAATTTCTGTATTTTTAGTAGAGACAGGGTTTCTCCATGTTGGCCAGTCTGGTCTTGAACTCCTGACCCCAAGTGATCCGCCCACCTCAGCCTCCCAAAGTGCTGGGATTACAGGTGTGAACCACTGTGCCTAGACTCTGAGCATAATTTCTTACCTCATTGTTCAAATTTCTACAATAATAAGTAGGCATCGTTCATGTGCAGCCACATTATGGCCTGAAACCATGACCGGTCTGTGAATTTGGGCAGTTTGAATGCATAAGGATGCGTTCTTATGTTATCCAAATTATCTATGCTTTGCTGGTGAAGATTCTGAAATAAAATGTGTCATTAGAAAGTGTTTACTTGTTTATAAGGGCCTGAAACTACTGAAGGTGTATGGGATATTTATGACTCTTGATTCAAAGTGTGAGTTTAAATGTTTGTTGGTGCCTCTGTGTTAAAAGCGTTATATTAAATAGTGTCAGATAGATACAGAGATGTATGGAAAGTGTTACCTGCCAGCCAGTTTAAGAAAAGTTAGGGCCGGGCACGGTGGCTCACGTCTGTAATCCCAGCACTTTGGGAGGCCAAGGCAGGTAGATCACCTGAGATCAGGAGTTCAAGACTAGCCTGACCAACATGGAGAAACCCCGTCTCTACTAAAAATACAAAATTAGCCGGGTGTGGTAGCAGGCGCTTGTAATCCCAGTCACTCAGGAGGCTGAGGCAGGAAAATTGCTTGAATCCGGGAGGAAGAGGTTGCAGTGAGCCAAGATCGTGCCATTGCATTCCAACGTGGGCAACAAGAGTGAAACTCTATCTCAAAAAAAAAAAAAAAAAGAAGAAGAGAAAAGTTAGAAACCAGGTGACTGAATTTCAAGGAAGTGTGCAAGTACCATGTGGTTGGTTGGGACTCTGTCATTCTGGGTCCAGTCAGGAGAGAGAAGCCATACAGTCATTTGAACATGAGAAAACATAATTGACTGACTATAACAGGGTAATTGAGTAATGAGGGATTAGCCAATAACAAAATAAATAGAGCTCTAAAGAATGTTGGAATAGCAAAAGTAAGAAGCAGCTACTAGCCCTAGGGCTGAGATGGACCCTCCCCCTGCCTGGGAAAGAGCGCTTCCTTTCCCCAGAGCTGAGGTCCAGACCTTACTGGAGAGAGCATGGTTGTAAATCACCGAATGGCAGGGAAGTTTCTGCCATTTAATGGTTCTTTGTTGGAAAAGTTGCTGGACATCTGCCCTTTAGGGTGCCAAGGAAAATCGTTAACTCTGATACAAAACTGCCCAAAAGGAGTATGTGGGGTGGCTCCCTGTTCCAGTAGACTCAGTGCTGCTGGCCACCTTCCCCTGTTGGAGTCTGATGCTGGAGGAGCTGCCTGCCCATCAGGAGTCTCGTGACAGCTGGAACCAGGAAGCCAAACTCCTTTTCTTCTGTCATGTCTCTCCAGCGCCCTATATCGACAGAGCTTAGCATCAGTTCCTGGCAAAGGAAAAGTGCTTAAAGGCCCCAGATCCATTTTCAGAATGAGCAGAAAGGATGAATTTGGAATGGAGAGGCACCAGATCAGTAACTGGGATGAGAATGGTATTAACTGCTGTAGGAGAGCAGAGACGGAGCAGAAGTCACATGGCAGTGAGAGAAGTATTTGAGAGAGAGCTTGTAAGATGAGTAGTTTGTTTGTTTGTTTATGTATTTGACAGAGTTTCCCTCTGTCGCCCAGGCTGGAGTACAGTGGCGCAATCTGGGCTCACTGGAAGCTCCATCTCCCGGGTTCACGCCATTCTCCTGCCTCAGCCCCCTGAGTAGCTGGGACTACAGGTGCCCGCCACCTCGCCTGGCTAATTTTTTGTATTTTTAGTAGAGACGGGTTTTCACCATGTTAGCCAGGATGGTCTTGATCGCCTGACCTCGTGATCCGCCGCCTCGGCCTCCCAAAGTGCTGGGATTACAGGCGTGAGCCACCGCGCCCGGCCAAAATGAGCAGGTTTTTTAAATTGAAGATCGCTTACTGTTTTCATTGCAAAACAGTATCCGTGCATTTTAGAAAAAAATAGAATACAGACAAGTGTTGTTGTCTATATTCTATATTCTAGAAAGAAAGGAAAGGCACTCACATCCAATGTCAACAAAGAGATCCAGTGTTAACTGCTTGATAAAAAATTGTTTTTAACACAGTCTCGCTCTATCACCCAGGCTGGAGTGCAGTGATGCGATCCCGGCTCACTGCCGGCTCTGCCTCGTGGGTTCACGCCATTCTCCTGCCTCAGCCTCCCGAGTAGCTGGGACTAAAGGCACATGCCACCACGCTGGGCTAATTTTTGTATTTTTAGTAGAGACAGGGTTTCACCATGTTGGCCATGCTGGTCTTGAACTCCTGACCTCAGATGATCTTCCTGCCTTGGCCTCCCAAAGTGCTGGGATTACAGGCGTGAGCCACGGTACCCAGCCTGCTGCTGCTTTTGTATCTTTGCAGAAAACAATTGGTTTTAGGTGTAATAATACTAAACTTTATAAACAGACACTGGGAGAAACTTTCTACTTTTGGTATTTCAACTCTATGAAGTTTATTTGCATAACTTCTTTATAAGTTTGTCAAATAAGCATTATTTTAGTGTTCTTCAAGTGACCTTTAGGAAGAGATTTTCTGATGGAACATTGTATCTTAGAAGTCCATTTTTTCTTGCCAGGCGCAGTGGCTCACACCTGTAATCCCAGCACTTTGGGAGGCTGAGACGGGCAGATCACTTGAGGTCAGGAGTTTGAGACCAGCCTGGCCAACATGGTGAAGCCCCGTCTCTACTAAAAATACAAAAAATTAGCCGGGCGTGTGGCGGGCATCTGTAATCCCAACTACTTGGGAGGCTGAGGCAGGGGAATCGCTTGAACCTGGGAGGCGGAGGTTGCAGTGAGCCGAGATTGTGCCACTGCACTCCAGCCTGGGTGACAGTGCAAGACTCTTGTCTCAAAAAAAAAAAAAAAAAATACAGATAGAAGTCAACTTTACAAGCTAATACCCAATGTCCTTTTTTTTTTTTTTTTTTTGAGAGGGAGTCTCGCTCTGTCTCCCAGGCTGGAGTGCAGTGGCGCAATCTCGGCTCACTGCAAGTTCTGCCTCCTGGGTTCACACCATTCTCCTGCCTCAGCCTCCCGAGTAGCTGGGACTACAGGCGCCGCCACCACGTCCGGCTAATTTTTTGGTCTTTTTTAGTAGAGACGGGGTTTCACTGTGTTAGCCAGGATGGTCTTGATCTCCTGACCTCGTGATCCGCCTGCCTCGGCCTCCCAGAATGCTGGGATTACAGGCGTGAGCCACTGCGCCCGGCCGCTAATACCCAATTTCTAATTTAATTTAACTTAAT